GTCCCACAGTTCTCTTAAGCTGTCTTCCTGTTTTTTAATCATTTTTTTCCTTTTGGTTTTTAGATTGGTTGATTTTTTTCTACCCTGTCTTCTAATTCACTGATCCAGTCCTCAGCTTCCTCTACTCTGCTTTTTAAACCTTCTAATGTGTTTTTCATTTCTGATATGTCATTTTTTATCTCTTTTTGATGGTTTTTAATTTCCAATGGGCTTATTTTCAGCATCTCTATGTCCTTACTCATCCTGTTGAGCTTCCTCAAGATCATGGCTCTGAATTCTAGCTCTGTTAGCATGCCTAACTGCTCCACATTGATCTCATCTTTGGTGGAGATCTCTTGCTCTTTCATTTGGCTTCTGTTTCTGTGTTTCACCATTTTGGCTATCACAGTGGGCTTTGGAGCCTGTCAAGTTTTCCCTGTGGGTGTTGGTATTCTGCTGTTTGTGGCTCCCTCTCCTGGGTTTAGATGAGCGAGGGAGGACCCATGTTAAACACCACTGTCAAGTCTTACTTTCCTGGTTAAAGTTGCTAGCCCAGGCAAGGTACTGTTATTCTCTAGATTTTTGCCTGGAGGCTAGCAGTTGAGGTTACTTGATGAGTTTTGGGTTGTCAGTTGATTGAAAAACTCCCTCAGGTGCTCAGCATAAGGGGATTTCACGAGGGTGGGGCAGATGCTGGTTGTTAATGAGCTTCAATTAGCACTTCAATGGCCCACAGGGTGGGGTTGGATCTCCTTGGGAGGGGCTGCTGCCTCTCCCCAGGGCCCCGGGAAGAAGCAATATGGCCACCGTCCTGCGTGGCAGCAACTCAGCAAAAGCTCTGAGCACCCTCCAAATCCCAAGTGTCCCCACACAGTTTCAGTCCAGTCTGCCCTCCCTTTGCCGGAGCCCAAGGTGAGTGGCTGTGCCTTTTTCGCCTCTGTCCCGGCTCTGCGCTGTGGATCCGCTTGGGAGTGTAACCTGAGGGCGCCGCTCCCAGCTAAGGCCGCTGCCGAGCTGCTGACTGAGCTGATGACCGTGGGCTCCCAGCCCCCGTCTCGCGCCTTCGCAAGCCTACCAGGATCGAGTCAGTGCCCCTGGTTATATGGTCCTCGCGAGCTGCTTTTCTGTTGGTTTTTCCCGTCAGTTTGTCTGTGTTATAGTTGTAATTCCAGTTTGGTTCTGGGAGAAGGTCTGTGTAGCTCTGTTCACTCCGCCGCCATTTTGGAATCCTCTGTAAAGCTTTTTTTACATTCACCTTGCGAGATAGATATTATCTTCCCTATTACATTGTTGCCATTGTTCATTAGGAAAACTGAGGCCCCAAGGGTTAATTTGCCTTGGCCAAGCTAAATTATGGCCAGTAATTAGGACTCTGGTCACTCAGGATTAGAATTCTAGTCTACTGACTCCAAAGCCTGTGACTTTACATTATATCAGATAAAATGAGTTGGGGGGGGGGGGCAAATGAGTAAATCAGGAGGAAGAGTAAATTGAAAATCTCTAGTAGGGTGTAGAGATTCTCTGGGGAGATCTCTCTAGGAGCAGGGTGGATTGGGGAACTCTACACTCCTCAACCTTTGTCCTATGAGTATAGTGTCTGGCTGAAGGCCAGGAGAGCTGACCAGATATCACCCAGTGCCTAGGGCAGGCTTTCCAAAGAGGACTGGGGTGGCTGTGTTGGAGAAGTCAGGTAATTTCACATCTGCTCCATGCAATGCTTCAGTGGCTTTGCAAAGAAAGACACATTTTGTAAGCCAATATTAATGTGTAGTTCAGTTCTCATAGCTCCCTGCGAAGAACTCTCTGGCATCCTACTTTGTCCCAGGCTCTCTTATAGTTCCCAGGAGATGGGTTTCTGTATAAATCAGATGTTGAAAGAGAGCTTTGAGGAGACAGCTGGTTGCATCTCACCTCAAGTGGTGAAGTGTAAGCTTTGTGTGGAGTCCTATGGAATTTTTTTCATGATTTTGTTCATGTCTCATTGGTAGTGAGAAGGACTAAAACAACACTACTAAGGAGGGGCAGAAACACTTCTCATTGTGGTCTTCTTTTCCCCTTTGTTTCCAGCAACAGATACAGTACCACATTGATTGAGATGACTTGTTATCCATGTTGCCACTTTGGATAGCAGGACAACAAGGATGTTTTTCAAAATAATGGGATGCCTACCCACCTGTTAGATAGTTCCACCTGAATGTTTCACCAACTACACTGTCACTATGATGGCATTATTATCTACCCAGTCACCAAGCCAGGGAGCTGGGGTTATCCATGATTCTTGCCTCTGTCTCACTGCCCCCACCTCCACCATTGTTGAGCCCTGACACTTTTATTTAATAGTTGTCAAAAATGTATTCTTCTTCTCATCTGCACTGCCACCACCTTAATCAGGACCACCATCATCTTTTATTAGACTAATCCAGTAACTTCCTAACTAGTTCGAACCAACTAGGAACTTTTGCTTCACTTGAAAAGAATCCAGAGGCATTGTTATTCCACAGTAGGTTAGTTAACTGGTTTAATGACATCTTCCTAGGTCCAGGTTCCTCTGTTTTTCTGCTCTTATAGTTTCAGCATATTAGCTTGTCCTCTTGGGCTCAATGCCTTCATGATCCCAAGATGGCTGCAGCAACTCTGGTCATCACATATAAAGGATAACATCCAGAGGTAGAAAAGGGATTGTCTGTCACTTTCTTAGGTCTATTTTTTTTTTTAATTGATTTTTAGAGAGAGGAAGAGAGGGAGGGAGAGGGAGAGAAACATTGATCGGCTGCCTCCCACACATACCCTGACTGGGGATCAAAACCTCAACCTAAGCATGTGCCCTGACTGGAAATCGAACCCACCACCATTTAGTGTACAAAACAGTGCTCCAAACAACCGAGCCACACTGGCCAGGGCTTTAGATCTATTTTTTTTAAATATGTTGTTATTTAATTTTTAGAGAGAGAGGAAGGGAAAGAGAGATAGAAACATTGATGTGAGAAACATCAATCGACTGCCTCCTGCACACCCCCTACTGGGGATTGAGAATGCAATCCAGGCATGTGCTCTGATGAGGAATCAAATTGGGACCTCTCAGTCCATGGGACAACACTTAATCCACTGAGCCACACTAGCTGAACTAGATCTATTCTTAAAAATAAGAAAAAGCTTCCCACAACTTGCCCCTCACCCTCAGCCACCAGTATTTCATTGGTCTGGCCTAGATCACATGTCCCAGCTGTCATTGTGTAGTGGAATTTGACTCCTATGATTGGATTAGAGAAGTCAGGACTTAATCCTTTGGAGCTGGAGTTTAAGGACTTACCCCCTCAGAGAAGTGTGAATAACATTGGGGTTCTTTAACAAGGAATAAGTAGAGAAGTAGCTCTGGGAAAGGTAACAACAATGCCTGGTAGATTGGTCTCTCCCCTTCCACTCCTGTCTTCTTCTTTTAATGTTTATCAGACATAGCAACCAGCCCCCTGCCAAAAAAGCCTCTGTCAGCTTTCCATTGACTGTCGGATAAAATCCACATTCCTTTACAGAGCCATCATGGACCCAAATGATCTAATGACTGCCTCCCTAGCTTTATCTTGTTTTTTATCCACTCAAAAGCACCTTGCTTTTTCCTGTCTTGATAGCTTTCACAGCCCCTGCTACCCACTTTTATGGGCCCAATTCCTACTTAGCATTTAGGTCTCAGTTGAAATATTACTTCCTCCAGGAAATATGCTCTCACTTCTAGACTGAGATTAGGACCTCCTGCATTGTTTCCCTTAGCATCTTGAATTTCTCATTTAAAATATGTATCACATTATAGAAACTTGCTTGCTACTTGGCATCCATGCACTTACTTGAAAGTTATGTGAAGACATGGAATATTTGTTTTTTCTTCATTATTTTCCCAATGCCTAGTTCATGTCTAAATATAAAAGACATCATAAATAAATGATTAACAGAAAAAAGGAATGATGCTCAGTTTTAAACAGAAATTGAAGCTCCAAAGCTGAAATTTTCTTTCAGTTTTTAGTTATGAGGGGCAACATCTGGTAATCAGAAGAGCACAGAGTTTAGTGATTACAGATTTGGATTCAAATAATCTCTTTCTTACTAGCTATAGGACCTTAAGCAAGGCATTTTATCTCTCTTAGCCTTATTTTTCTCATTAAACGATTTTTTTTTCTTTATTGATTTTTAGAGAGGAACAGAGAGGGAGAGAGAGATAGAAACATTGATGATGAAAAAGGGCCGGCCCTGGAGCTGGCCCACTCCCCCTCCGGGCTTTCGCCCGCCCTCTTTCCTTCTTTCCCTCCCCATTTCGCCTGTCCTGGCCCTGCCCTGGCCCTGCCCCTACCCTTGGTCCTGCCCGGTCCTGTCTGCCCCTCTTTGCCCCCCCCTCAAAAAAAAGAAACATTGATGAGAGAGAACATCGCCTCCAGCATGCCCCCCGACTGGGGATTTGGCCCACAACTTGGGCACATGTCCTGACCACGAATCGAACTGGCGACTTCTTGGTGCATAGGTTGATGCTCAACCACTGAGCCACAACAGCTGGGCTATTTTTATCATTTTAAAAGGGAGATAATAATAGTTAGGATTAGAAGAACGTTTGTTAATATATTTAGCATAATGCACAGCCCAACATAGTGCTTAATAATTATTGGATGAATGAATGAATGAACGAACGAACGAACAAACAAACAAATTATGACAAATATATGAGATTGGTAAAGTTCCAGAAATACAGATTTTTTTAGAGTCAGGTAGAGGAAGTGGAGCCAAAAAGACAAAGAGGAACAGAGAGGAAGGAATCTTCCTAAGAACCCCATAAAGTCAATGTTACTATCCCCATCTTACAGATGGGAAACTGAGAGGTGGAAAAGCTGAGATGGCAGCTCAGTTCTGAACAACTTCAAAGCCCACGCTCTTTCCACTGTATTAGGCTGCCTTCCTCCACAGGGAGTCATTTGTTGTCCTGGCCAATTATATAAACTTTGGTGAGACCTTGAGAGTTGACTCTCTGCACTGTGTTCCAGCTGAAGCACCACTGTGTGAGGAAGCCGTCAGAGCTGTGCACCATTAACGTGAGCGGCCTGAAGTTCTCTAAGGTAAAGCCAGCCAGCAGATATGTGATTGACACGAGCCAGACCTGAAGTGTCTGCTGGCAGCTTGTCCATTGGACCTCCAGTCCCTGGGGAATGGGAATCTGGTCACAAGGGAGGGGGAGGGTCAGACAAGGACTCACTGGGTGGAAATATATAGACATAATCTTTTGCTCTAAATTTGGTATTGTCTTTGTCCCATGTGAGGTGAATTAAAGGAAATAACCTTGTGAAAGTGGGTTTGAATTGGCCTAGAATTTGGTTGGGGTATGATTCATTGTGTGACCAAGTTCTCATCAAAAGAGCCTACAGGAGAAATTTCTGTCAGGTTTCAGTGCCAGGAGTGGTAATGGTTCTCCCAAGATGCTGATTTGTTCTTAATTTACAGCTACCGTGAGTCATGTAATGAGTCTTTCTTTGCATTGGCTAATAGATATCTCAGAAACAAATGTGTGGCCCACCATTAGCCAATGTATATACAGGCTATTGTGGCATGTCTTTTGGTTTTTAGGCTCTCCGTGGCATATGACGAGAGATTGCTTATATACTACTGTGCAGCAATTAAGTGAAGGAACTAGAGCTACATGTAGCAACACAAAAAAAATCTCAAAAACATAGTATTGAGCAAGAAAGGCAGATTGCAGATTATCACAGTATGATTTCATTTAATATAGTTTTAAAAACATGTAGATAATACTATATATGGTTTATGGATACACATATATGTAGTACAAGTATGGGAATGATAATCACCAAATTCAGGGTAGCTGTCATCTGTGGGGGAGAGGGAGAAGAATGTGATTAGGGAGGGATATTCGGGGAAGGGACAACTCTCTGAAATGTTTTGCTTTAAAGAAATTGAAGCAAAGACAGAAAAATATTCAGATTTATTAAAGCTGAATAGTGGTTCCATGGGTCTTCAGAGTATCATTCACTGCACTTTTCTGAACATTCTTTCCAAATGCCTTTCCACAGGCTAAGGAAAAGGACTTCAAGCATTTTAATTCTGTGATTTACATCAATGCCTCAGAAAACCTGCTTCCTCTAGGTGAGCTTTTTCTTCCTGATAACTACCTTCTGCCTCTTGGCAGGCACAGCCAGTCACTGATGTTAGAACCTGCCTTCCTGTCCATCCTTAACTGGCCCCACATCTCTTTCTTGGAGTGTAGTGAGCTGGACGCTGGAGAACACACAGACCTGGATTCTAGCCCAGAGAGGGCACTGTCTACTTAGAACATTTCTATATGAGTTGATGCTTCTCTATCTGTAAATGGATTTAATTTCCTTCCTTTCTTCCTCCCCAAGGCAAGATGCCTGGTAAGCTCAGATGAGATGGATATATAGAGATGTTTTTGAGACAGTAAGAGCAAGCTTTCTTGTTTATTCAGCAAATCCACAGCGACCCCTGCTGGGTGTCAGGACTGTGTGAATGCTTGGCTTTTATAATTGAATGCATCTAGGTTCTGTTCTGGTGAGTCTTAGCTTGGTGGGAGAGATGCACTCAAACACAGTTTTAGCAAAATACGGTAAGTGCAATGATAGAAGGAAACACAAAATATTATGGGAGTATAGAAGCAGGACATCAACCTGGGCCAGAGTATCAGGAGAAACTTCTGCGAAGAGGAGTACCTAAACTGAGATCTACAAAATGGATAGGAGAGACTCAGGAATTAGAAGGTAGGGAGGCATGCCAGGCTGACAGAGCCGATGTGGGATGTCAGTGCCTGATCAGGGTCTCTGGAGAAGCTATGTATGTTTGCAAGGGATGCAGGTAGTAGAGAATGGAGACTAGAAAACTTGGTAGAGACTAGATTATCAAGCGCCCTGAGTGACTTGGACTTAATCCTGCAGGCAAAGAGAGCCTTGGACGGCTTTTAAATAGGGAGGCTCAGTGGTGGCTGTGAGGAAGGTGGAGACCAGGAAAGCTGGGAGCTGGTTTCACTTTTCCAGGTGAGAGAAGGGGAACCAGGGCCATGGCAATAGAGGTGAAAGGGGTTAAGAAAGATTCAAGGGGAGGTAGAGATAATAGGACTTGGTAACTAGAGGGCATATGGAGAGAGGGCAGAACTAAGGGGGTTCACTGAGATAAAGAGCACTAGAGGAGAGGCCGGTTTGGGAAGATATAGGATGAGTTCAATCTGAATGTGTTGAGTTTGAGGGGTGTCTTTATTTTATTTTATTTTCTATTTATTATTATTTCTTAATCCTCACTTGAAGATATTTTTCCATTTATCTTCAGATAGAGCGGAAGGGAGGGAGAGAGGAAGAGAGAGCAAGAGAAACATTGATGTGAGAGAGACAAATCAATTGGTTGCCTCTCACGGGACCCCAACCAGGCCAGGGACGAACCACAACTGAGGTACGTGCCCTTGGCCGCGATTGAACCTGTGACTCTTTGATCCACGGGCCGACGTTCTAACCGCTGAGCCAAACTGGCCAGGGCTGAGGGGTGTTTTTAAAGAAACATGTGATGAAGTCCCTGTCCTTGAAACAGTGAGGTCTGTCAGGAACTTAGGCTTGAAATACAAAGGTCGACAAGCATATGAAAAGATGCTCAACCTCACTAATAATTAAAACAGTATTGAAATACTATTGTCTACCTATCAAATACTGGCAAAAAAAAAAAATGAGAACTGATGGCAGTTGGCATTGGTAGGGAAATGGATACTTTTGTGTTCAACTGGCAGAAGTGTAATAAATTGGTGCAGCATCTTCTGAATGCAATTTGATAGTGTCTCTTAAAACAGTCATTGCCTTTAGTCTAGTTGCTCCACTTTCAGGAATTTATTCTACAGAAACATACTTATACAAGGATGTTCACTGGAAATGACATTCTGACTTACAAGACCACCATAGGCCACACTTCACTTAGAAGGCTCTAAGCAATTCCACGTAGAATGACAGCCACACAGCATCAGCAGTTCCTCTTCGGTGAAGTCCCCATAGCATTTCGTGTAGCATTCCATGTAACCATCCATGAGCCATTCTCTGTGGCCCCCAGCTCAGGTCCAAGACAATGAGACTCTCATTGGGTGGATACAGGAGCCACTCTGGCTTGGAAATGTCATTTGCACTGGAGCAAATAGCTATTGTAACACTCCATAGACATAGCCCCTAGAGTTCCTGCAAAGGACGTGTCTAGCTATACGAGTCACCACACACAGGAAATCCCAAAGTCTGGTGCCTCCTTCAAATGTTTATTGTTCATTTATAGTTTCTCCTAGTTCAGATGTAATTTTTTACCACTGCAATATTGCCTAGTAACACTGTTACCATACCATTTGTTTCAGGTTACCAGGAGAACAGGCTAGAAAGTTAACCCAAGGTCCAGTTGTCATACAGAAGGGGAAAGTTTACCTTTTATCCAGATAGCCTAAAAGGGGAATGGTTAAATAAACTAGAGTCTATAACATAATTCGGACATTATGCAGATCTATATGTTTTGGCATGGGATAATCCTTAAGTCATACTGCTAAGGAAAAAAGCAAGTCACAGTACAATGTGAATGGTATGATTCCATTTCTGTAAAAAGAAGTGTGTGCATTTCAGTACACACATGAGGAAAAAGTCTGGAGTATAAACGTGAAACTTTCAGTAGTTATCTCTGGGTATTGAGGTTCAAGGGAACTATTATTTTTCTGTTTTTTACTTTTTCAGTGGACATGTTTTATAATCAGAAATTATTATTTTTATTTTATATTTTGTTGTAATTTTTAAAGTGGGCTTTGGAGTTAAACAGAGCTAGATTCAGTTTTGGCCCTTCACTTACCGGAAATTCTGAGATAAAAAGCACTAGAGGAGAGGCAAATCACTTAGCCTAGCAGAGCCTCGGATTCCTCAGCAGTAGAATGGAACTAGTAATCCCTATTTCTCAGGATTGTTAGAGATTTAGAGGCTATGTATGTAAAGTGCCTTACACTGTGCCTGGCCTAACCCAGTGGGAATCCAGTAAATGACTACTGTTAATATCTTTTTCTTAAGTTCTTCACAAGCTGAAGATTTTCTTTCTCTCCCCCCCCACCCCCCCACCCCCCACCCCATAGAGGCATTTTACACATTTCCAGCCTTGAGGGAACTGGAGCTCGCATTGAACGGCATCAAAACAGTCTCTGTGAAATATGGAGACTTTACATTCTTGGAAGTAAGTTGGAGGTAGGGAGTTTTGGGTGCCCACCTGTTTCCCTGTAAGGAATGGATGTAGAGGTCTCTGTTTACTGCTTATAATTTTTGGGAAGGGGCTTTGTGGGCCTTTACAGCCAGAGCCTTGCTTCAGGGCAGGTGGCAGGGTTGGTGGTAGAGATGGGGTAATGGGGTGGGTGGTGGCAGCAGTAGCAAATAGATGAGACTATATTATTCCTATGGCCATGGTGCATGGTTCTGGAAAATAAATGCCAAAGGTCATACCCAAAGGAGTGAGTCTATGTGGAAAAGTGAGTTTAAATAGAGTATTAAAGGAAGGAGAGCTTGAGAGGCGATCTGGATCCAGTGGGGGTTGAAGAGCCATGGACGTTAAGTGCTAGGTACAGAAGATAGGACCAGCTGAACTAGAGACATAAGGACTGATTCCAGCAACCCATCCTGGTCTGCGTGAGCCAGATTGGTTCCATCGGGCTTGGATAAGGCAGGCTATAGGCCTAGTCCATAGGCCCAGAGATGAGTGTGAAATAAAATAGGACTCCTATGAGTTCTATAGCAGACTCTTGACATTTGGACATCCATAGCTGTTCTCTAAACCACAGATTCAAAAATACAGGAAAATTAGTTTGCATTCTTGGCTTTCTCCTAAATTAAATTGTCCATAGTCATGTATTTTTTACACATGTTCTTATACTTCAAGTTAATCATCTCTTCAACTTCTATGAAAACTAGTGTCACTTTTCACAAAGAAACAGAGCTTTTGTCACTACCTGAGAATCACAGTATACTTGGAGAGTAAACGACAGCAGAGCTGGAGCAAGGTGTGGAGCTGGGCATCTGGCCAGGCTCACTTGCTGAATAATGGACTCTTCCCCCCATATTGGCCTTATAGCAGAAATGTTTCCGATTCAACCCTTAGTAAAATGTCTGTATGTCATGAACCTTGGGGTTGACCCCAGAGTTGGTAACTTAAAACCTTTGATCTACAAACATCAATAGTCAGCCATTGTTTATAGAAGTCCCACTTAATCTGGTAGAAAGAGAAAGTGCGCGCGCACGAGAGAGAGAGAGAGAGAGAGAGAGAGAGAGAGAGAGAGAGAGAGAGAGAGAATCCACAGTGTATTTTTAGAAAGTTGTTGTCCTTTATTTGCCAAAGTTTTAAAAAAGTTTTAACTGTTTGGGATGGCAATCCTCCAAAAATGGATTATCTATCCTTGCATTCTTAAAGCATGCTATACTGAAGGTAATTGTACTTTCTCTCCGTGTTTTCAATTATATTGAGGATAACAGGGATTTGTATAATTTGGAATGGGAGTGATCCTTAGACTTGTCCAGGAAGCATAGCTCCTAAAAATCCAATAAAACAAAGAGAGTACATTTACAACAACCAATGCAACTTTGTGCTATGTTAAAAACATCTCATATTAGATTTTAGTATAGGTAGCGGGAAACAGGTTCCAGGTACTCTAGAGATATAGAGAGACATTACCCTTACCTACGGGCCTGGGAGCTTCTTATGAACGTTCATTTATTCATTATTTTACTTTTTAAAAAGTAGTTTTTGGGCTCCTTTATGTCATGCATGGTGCCAGGCATCCTGTCTTCTTTAAATCTACTATTTCAAACCCCTATTTCAAGTGCCAATGGACCATGGGGAGAGGACATGATTATAGGCTCTGACCCACAGCTGACTAACTTGGATCTACGGATTGATCATGATTGACTTCTTGGAGGCCCTACTTCATAGTTTGATAGCTTCTGATGCATAGTATTTATCCAGCAGACCCCGCCTTACCCAAGGGGATTTATTTACAGAAGAGGACAGACCAAAGTCATGATGTAGAATATAAATGAGAAGACCAAATCTCTTAGCCAGTCATGTGATTTCATCTCTCTGCAATTTGCAAGGGCTCTCAAAGAAAAAGAATAAACCTGTCAAATGTCCTGCATTTGCAGCTCACAGTAATGAATATTTTGACGTGTGATAAAATTTGATATGACTCAGCAGATGCAGTAGCCAGGTTAGGAATCTTTTGCCCTTATTACCAGAAAGGCTGCCACCTAGAGTAGAATTAATTTTGCGATGATTTTATTCTCTGCAACCAAGTCTGAAAAAGGGTCAGTGGGAGCCCTGCCTGGAGAGTCAGAAAAACTGACTCTTGGTCTTGGTCCTGCCACTACCTTCATACCTCCTTGGCCAAATAACTTACGCTGTCAGGGACTTAAGTTTCCCCCTCTGTAAATTCTGCGCCAGCTGTGGAATTCTGTGACCTGTGATTCTAAGACCATTCATTTCTTGGAGCTGCCTTTAATTCTATGGAAAACAAATTTGGACCCAACATTAAATATCTAAAGTCAGTAAACTTTTTCTGTAAGATGCCAGAGAGTAAATATTTTAGGCTTTGTGGTCCATATGGTTATATCTAGTCAACTCTGCAGTGGTAGAAGGAAAGCAACCATAGACAACACATAAACAAATGAGCAGGGCTGTGTTCCACTACAACTTTAAGAGGCTGAAATGTGAATTTCACATAATTTTCACACAATGTTATTCTTCTTTTGATTTTTTCCAACCATTTAAAAATATAAAAATCATTCTTGGCTCACAGGCCTTAGTTTGCCAACTCCTGAGCCAGAACACTGGAGGAATATCTCAGTATGATTGAAATGAAGAGTGAGATACAGTAGAGTGTAGATAGATGAGCCTGGAGAGGTAACAGAGAGAACCTTGGAAGTCTTACTAAGGAATTTGAACTTTATCCTATGGATAACAGCAATCCATTGAAGGGTTTGGAACTGAGGAGTAATAGGATCAGTACTGTGTTGTAGAAAAACTACTGTGGCTACTGTATGGAAAATGGTTTGGAGGGAACAAGTATGAAAGATATTAAGGAGTCTGTTGACTACCCACATATGTATATGAGGAAGAGAATTTTCCCAACCTTTACATGTGCTTATCAGAGCTAGCTTTCTAGGTCTTTCTCCTTGAAGGCTTGCTTCTCTGCCAAGTGAGACCGGCCTTTGTGTGAACTCTCAAAACTTGGAATTTGCTGCTGGCGGCATGAACTTGGCACTTGTTAGGTGCTTGGCACCTGTCATGAACTGTCCAGTCTTATCAAGCTCTCTCTTAATAATATGGGCTCTAATTATGGCCAGATCATTTATAGTTATCAGAACAAACAAGGCTGCCTTCTGCCTCCTGGCTTCTATGTATGCTACTTGCTACACTGCATGTTTTTTTTGCTCTTAACAATTTGGTGAGTACCAACTAGTCTCTGAGGACAGCTCTAGTGTCACCTGTTCTGTGAAGCTTGTCTGCACCCCTGGTAGAGCTGACCATTCCTCCTTTTGTGCCTCCACTGGTCTGTGCTTAGACATCTGTCCCAGCAGCATTGCTACTTCACACACACACATACACATACACACACACACACACATACACACACACATCTCTCTCTCTAGATATATATATATATGTGTGTGTATATATATACACACACACACATATATACACATATACATGCACACATATATACATATACATATACATATACATATACATATACATATACATATACATATACATATACATATACATATACATATAGCTGCCTGACTAGTTGGTGAACTTGCAGAGGGCAGGAACTGGTTCAAAGTAAACCTTCAGTCTAGGGACCTTTAATAAACGGATGGTGATGATGATGACAGTCAACATCAACTAAGCATGTTCTGTACACTAGACTCTGTGATAAAGGCTTTACCTACATAATTCCTCACAAGAATTCCTCCATTACTAATACTAATTCCTCCATTAGTATTTCCACTTTATAGGTAAGGAAGCTTAAGTTAGGCAATTTACCCAAGATCGCACAGTTAGCCAGGACTTAAACCCAGGTCTACAAAACCCATTACTACAGTGGAGTCAGACCAAACCCAGTCCTCCTCTGGCAGTGACCTGCAGTCAGTTGTATATGTCTGTCTGACTATGCAATACTTAAGTGGCTGACCAAAGACCTTGCTCCTGCACCAGTTCGATAAGATGCTGAGATTGGCTCCATTCAACAGACTCCAATAGGTGTGTGTAGGGGGAGGAGAAGGAAAGGAGCCGACTTGTACATAAGAGCTAAAGTAAGTGTTTAGAGAGGCTCAGAAGAGAGAAAACATAGTCTGGGCTGATATCATTTATCCCGATTCCTTTTGTCTTTGTTGAGAGAAACTCAGTTTCCTGACTGGTCCCCTGGCCCCTGTCAACTATCTCATTAATCTGGGTGGCCAGTTAGAAGGTAGTTGATGATGGAGTGACAAGTGGAGTCATTATCCTCATAAGCCAGTTTATTTCAGTTGATTTTTTATGTGCACCTACTTAGTACCAGGTCCTAAGCTAGTAACAAGGATACAGAGATACAGTGGCATGGCCCTTAACCTTAGAGAATTTGTGGTCTAGTCTACCACTGTGTGCCAGGACTCTGCTAGGCACATCCATGCACCAATACCTTATCCCTCAGACATGTTTCCAGCTATTGTAGATACCTGGCCTACTGTGAGAAACCACCCCCCATCCCGCCCCCCCCAACCCAGAGCAGGCTAGACAAAGCACTAAGTTAGAGGAGAGAGAGATTCCATCTAGCCAGATAATTAGGAAAGGTGTTAGAAGGAGGCAGCTTCTGAGCTAGTCTTCTGGGGCTTAGATTGAGATACATGGAGAAAGGGCATTCCTGGTTGAGTGAAAGGCTTAAGCAAGATCTCTATGTGAGAGAAGGCAATGAGTGGGGAGGAGTCACTTTGGCTGGCATCAAAGGATAAATAAAGGTTTGCAGTGGGAACTTAGGCTGGCAGATAGGTTGGGAACTGATTCTAGTAGACATTAAATGTTAGTCCAGAGAGTCAGGATTATTTTAGCCCATGGGTAATGCCTCCCAAATTCCCAAACCTCCGAAGGTAAAAAAAAAAAAAAAAAAGCTAGCTAGCTCCCACCTCATGTATGAAAATCATTATCACGCATAGTACTTATGTTCTCCCATCTTTATCATTGCATCATAGTTCCTGGACCTTTCCTTCAACAGCCTGGCTACGGAGGCCATCTGTGATCTAGGGATTCTGCCACACCTCCGTGTCCTGCTCCTCACAGGCAATGGACTCACCTCCTTGCCACCGAATTTGGCTGTCACAGAGCAGTAAGTTCTGCAGCCAAGAATCTATCCTGTGTATTCCCTCATGAACTTTGTCTGGGTACAAGTAACCAAGGCAGTACTCCAAAGCAGTTCAGAAGTGTTCTAAAGACAGGCTCTGAGTGCTCAAAGCAGGGAGAATGCCATCTACCGAAGCTCCCAGGAAAGGCAACCATGGGAGCAGGGCCCCAGACGATAGGGAAGCCTCAGATGGGTGTCCCCCACTCCTCTGTGCCAATAGGAGAGACACAGGTGTCTGGCAAGTTGCTCTGATTTGTTACTGGTAAATTATGGATATTGCTCTTGTCAGACTATTCTTCAAGAACCTTCTAAATAAGTTTTGCAAATTCACATTCTGCACATTTGCTGAGGCCATGCCCTCTGGCCAGAATGTACTGATTCTTCCTCTCTTGATAAAAATAACACATATGTAGTGCTTACTATGTGCCAGACACTGTTCCCAGCACTTAACACGTATTAACTCATTTAATCTTCACAGCAACCCTATGTCCTATTATTAACCCCATTTTTTAGATCAGGAAATTGAAGCACAGCTAGGTTAAATAACTCACCCAGAGTTACAAAGCTAGTAAGTGGCAGAGCCAGGATTTGAACCAAGTCTGACTCAAGATACCATGCTTAAGACCATGACATTCTCTTCTTATGTAGATTCTGTATCCATTCCAAGGGCTAACTCCGATCCTCCCCCTTTTCCTGCCAGAAGCTTTCCCATCTTAACCATGTTTAGGTGTACACTTCAGTGGCATTAAGTACATTCAAATTGCTGTGTAACAATCACTACCATCTCTCTCCAGAATTCTTTTCATCTTGCAAAAGTTCCATTAATTTTGACTACTGACCCTGACACTTCTAAAAAGAATACCAGATAATCCCCTGGATTCCTGTTTGCCCTCAAAGTATAACAGCAATCATATCTACTCTTGATAAACAGTATCAATCTCCCAACCAATATACTAAACTTCTCTTTTTCTGCTGATTGGTTCAGTGGAACAAAGAACCCAAGTGGCCAGTCGCAAACTCAACCTCCAGTTAAGTGGAACTATTCTTGTGTTCCCTGTAAAAGCATTTCTCCTTAGGAAACTAAGACCTCGAACTCAGAAGAGCTCCAAGTTGCAGGATAAGAAGCAAAAATGCTGCGAGTGGATTGTTAGGCATACTGGTTAGAGGAGCTACTCTCATTTTCATCATTAATTCCTAGATCCTTCACTCTGGTTGTGAGGCTTTCTCACATCTCAGCACAGTCCTAGTGGAAAAGTGACCCCAAGTAGAACATGAACCCCTTTGCATCTCTTCTTCCAAATATTGACCCTCCCGGTTTTTCACAGCTGGTTAGTTCCCAGATGACTTAAAGAAGATTGTTGTTGTTGTTGTTGTTGTTTGTTTTGCTTTTACATTTATCTTCAGACAGAGCCAGAGGGAGAGAGGGAAGAAGAGAGAGAGAGAAACATCCATGCAGGAGAGACTTATCGAGTGGTTGCCACCCACACAACCCCAACTGGGGCCGGGGACAAACTGCAACCAAGGTATGTGCCCTTAGCGAGAACCAAACCCAGGAATCTCTGGTCTGCAGGCTGATCGCTGAGCTAAACTGGCCAGGGCAAGAAGATTGTTTGTAACGTATATATTTTTGTCTGTATTTTCTAATTTATACTTGGGAGAGTTGGCCTATATTATTTAGTCTGCCACAAACCTTTCCATTTATTTTGGCCAGGTTCCTAGGGGCACTCAGTATGGAACCATTTTAAACTAAACTAAACTAGCTGGATATTTTCTGAATCATTTTGCTGATACAAATTTGAACTACAGTTTCGTGAGAGTAGCAGTCTGCTCTCCCTACTCCCTTTTTCTGTTCACACCAAGGCAGTCCTCCCCTGACTGTGGGATGAGGGAAATGGATGTGGTTCTGGTTCTCTCTTCCAAGGGTGTATCTCTTTAGGATCCCAGATTCATATAGGGCATTCCAATTATAGGCCCCTCCTTCTGTTTCAGCCAGATCAGCAAATGTCCTCAAGACAAAAGTGGCTTCTTGTGCTCAGTTTCTGTCTCTGGACTTTTATTTTATTATTTTATTTTTTGCAATTTTTATTAATTTATTTTTGTTACAGATGTTTCTCCTTCCCCCCGCCCCAGACACCCTCCTCCCAATCCCACCGCCCTCCTCCCCAACCCCCGCAGCATTGTTGTCTATGTCCATTGGTTATGCATACATGCATATAAGTTCTTTGGTTTATCTCGTTCATCCCCCCCACCCCCCTCCTCTGAAGTTTGTCAGTCTGAACCATGCTCCTTTCTTTGTCCCTCGGTCTGTTTTGTTCATCAGCTTATTTTGTTCATTATATTCCACAAATAAGTGAGATCATGTGGTATTTGTCTTTCTCTGATTGGCTTATTTCATGTAGCGTAATGCTCTCCAGGTCCCTCCATGTCATCTCAAAGGATAAGAGATCTCTCTTTCTTACAGCTGCATAGTACTCCATTGTGTATATGTACCACAGCTTTTTTATCCACTCATCTATTGATGTACATTTGGGCCGTTTCCAGACCTTAGCAATTGTAACTAGTGCTGCTGTGAACTTAGGGGTACATTTATTTTTTCTCATTGTTTCAGGCTTCTTAGGATATATTCCTAGAAGTGGGATCACTGGGTCAAATGGCAGTTCAATTTTTAATTTTTTGAGAAAACATATTTTTTTCTATAGTGGCTGCACCAGTCTGCATTCCCACCAGCAGTGTACTTTTCTACACACCCTCACCAACACTTCTTGTTTGATGATTTGTTGATAGCAGCCATTCTGGCAGTTGTGAGGTGATACCTCATAGTTGTTTAAATTTGCATCTCTCTGATGATTAGTGATGTTGAGCATTTTTCTTATGTCTCTTGGCCATTTGTATGTACTTTTTGGAGAGGTGTTTATTTAGGTCCTCTGCCCATCTTTTAATTGGGTTCTTTGTCTTTCTTTTGTTGAGTTGTATGAATACTCTATATATGTTGGGAACTAACCCCTTATCTGATGTATCGTTGGCAATTATGCTCTCCCATTTAGTGGGTTCACTTTCCATTTTGATGTCTGTTTCTTTTGCTGTGCAGAAGCTTTTTGAGTTTGATGTAGTCTCATGTATTAATTTTTTCCCTTGTTTCTCTTGCCTTAGGCATTGTAGCAGTGAAAATTCTACTGCGTGTGATGTCTGAAATTTTATTGCCCACGCTTTCTTCTAGGATTTTTATGGAGTCATGAGTCACATTTAAGTCTTTTATCCATTTTGTCTGTTTGTGGATTTTTAGATTTTGGCGTAATACTTTCTTACTCTCTTCACATCTCCTACATGTTTTTAAATGATAGATCTCTTTTGTTTTTATATTTTATTCATTATTCCCGTTGTTTTCAGTGGGAAGTCTTGTTACATAAAGTAAGGCAAGTCTCCACTACTCCAGACTTCTATTTCCATACATATAAGATGGGGAGAATAAATGCACCCTAGTTACATCAGAGTATCCATTGAAATAATTGTATTATGAAGGCTGTGAGGCTCCAGACAAAAATTATTGTCATTTTCTTTCCACTCTCAATATGTTCTGTAGATCCCTCTTCCTCTACCAACTTCTCAAATGTTGGTGATCCCCAGTTGACCTCTCTTAACCTGCTGTTTTTCTTAATCTTTATACTCTTTTTTAGTGATTTCATCTTGTCCAAAGTCTTAGTTATCTCTCTGCCTCATTTCTATCTTCTGAGCTATAAACTTACCATGCCAGATTCATCACACCATGCCCATACTGTGTGGGCCTCAGTGGTAGGCACTGCTCTCTGTCCACTGTGCAGCTGTCCAGGCTAGAAACCTGGGCCTAGGCCTGAATTCTTCCCTTCCTCACCTCACATCCATTCAGTCAGCAGATGCTGTGAATGGTACTTCCTAAATTTTTCTCAAACTTGCCCATTTCTGTTATCCTCCTGTTTGGTCTCAGTATCCAATTTCTTACCTCCTAACCCATCCTCCTTACCATCAGTCAAAGTAATGTTTCTAAAATGCACCTGATTCTACTACCTCCCTGCTTAAAGTCCTTTAGCAGCTTCTCAGTGTGCTGAAGATAGACTCCATTAACATCCATCACAAGCTTTTCCTGAACTGACTCTGCTTATTCTCCATCCTCCTTTCTCTTCACCTTTCTCCATTTCATGATATATCTCATCTGTTCTGAACTGTTTGCATCTCCATTTCTGGATAGATCACACTATTCTCTCTGTCTGGGTGAGTGAGAAGCATCATAATCGAGCTACTCCATCTTTACACTACTCTCATACTTGTTTTGACTGACAGCTGACACTTGAGCTCTCTCCCATTAGGCCTATTCCCTTTCCCCCTTGGACCACACAAGTTGGCTCTTTCAGGCTTGACCAGCACGGAGCAGAGGGGGATTGTCACCTCCTTTTTCTAATCACTGTGTTCCTAACACCTCCTAAAAGAGCAGTAGCTTTTTAGCAGCTACATCATAAGTCTTTTTCTTCACAAGCAAACTGTTAATCCATGTCTCCATCATCCTGTGCTTGGCATGATGGGTTTTCTGTATCTTAATCACAGATGCTGATCTGACTTTTTTTTTTTAATCCTCACCTGAGGATATTTTTCTATTTATCTTCAGATAGAGAAGGAGAGAGAGAGAAACATCAACATGAAAGGGACACATCGATGAGAGAGGCAACACTGGTTGCCTCCTACACAACCCCGACCAGGGCCAGGGATGAACTGCAACCAAAGCATGTGCCCTAGACCAGAATCGAACCCAGGAGTCATCAGTTCATGGCCAACACTCTAACCAATGAGCCAAACCAGCCAGGGCTGATCTGACACTTGAACGGACCTTAGAACTTGCTAAATTTCATCTTGTTTGCTGCAGCCATTGGTTCAGTCTGTTGAGCAATATTTTTAGCCAAAGTTTTACAATGTAGAATAAAAGAAATCTACTTTAATCATACAAATAAAAGAACTGACCAGGCCCATAGATGCTCTACCCCAGCTAGAACTGACAGCAAGCAAAGCAGCAGCAGCCCCACAACCAGAGCCTAGGGCTCCTAATTCCCATCCATATGCTGCTTCTAAAATGACACACGAATGTCCCATTCCTGAATTCAACCCCAGGAGAATACTCTAAGCTTCTAAAAAAAATGAAGTTCAAGTATCAAGTATCAGGTTTTAAATGCTATTAATTCCTTTGGCCAAGGGAAGGTATAATAAAAATAGCATCACTCTGAACAGCTGGAACCTCAGCCTCTCCACTACTGACAGACTCCTGCTGCTTCAAAGAATTCTGTCTCTCAGCTTTCACATCTGATCCTCTCTGTGACTCACCTCATTTTTCTGTACAGGTGAGCTGCCTGTGTCTCTTTGGGCCCCATGATGGGAAATATGACTTCCCAGAGCTTCTAAATATATTACAGTTCAGCCAAAAGGAGACTGTTTCTCTCCCTATTCCTCACCCTCTCTCACTGTGGTTAAGAGCACAGTAAATTCCCTCTCCATTCTTCATTGTTTAGCTAAACATTGCCTTGCCTGGGTCCTCCTCACCAGAGTAGGTGACCCCCACAAGCTTTGTACCTGCCTCTCTCACAGCAGTTGTCCCACTGCCTGCAGTGTGTCCACCTCCTGCACAGACTGTAAGCACCTCGAGGGGAGGGATGTGTTTGTTCTTTTTTTTTTTTTTTTGTATTCCCAGTAGCGAGCCCCATAATGTTTGTTAAAGAAATGTGTATGAATGGATGAACGAATGGCTATTATATACTCTCTAAATTCTCCTTTGAAATATTCTTGACTTTATGTATACTGTTATAGTCCTTTTGGACTTTTGAACTTACTGCCTCTCTTCGTCAAGCTCTCTCTGGCCCAGACAACAGCTACCCTTCCATCTCCCCACCCTTTAATGTACATGGGGCTTGAAGATGTGACCTGAGAGGTAGTTGCTTCAGGACAGGGCCTGGAGTTTCCATTCAAGTTTGAGCTCTACCACTGTCTAACTATGAGACTTAAGCAAGTCATTCCTTTTGTTCTTGTTAATCCTCACCTGAGGATATTTTTCCATTGATTTTTAGATAGAATGGCAGGGAGAAAGGGAAGAATGAAGGGTGTTTCTGGGAATCCTCAGAGTTTAAGTTTAAAAAGAGACTTCTCAAATTTTTACTGATGTGTGCATTCTATGGAGTCACTTTAGCCTCACTGTGGCCAGCCTACTTACCACACCTGCTCAGTGGCAAAGCTGTGGTCCATGTCAAAGCCATTGTCTCCTGGTGAGCATCCTTGGGGTAATATAGCATACCCAGGTGTCTGCCTTGACCCCACAATATGCAGTGTTCTCCCTGCAGAATGCTTCTTCCCCCCAACTAGACCATACCTCATTCACTCTGGTATTTTCCATGAGCACTACAAGTGCCCTCCCATCCTGCCACAACCTAGTCAGAGAGCCTATCAGTGATATGTGGAACCTTTCTCCATACAGAGTATTATATGTATGAGTGGGGTTGGGGGAGGGAACTACATGTTTCGGTCCTTCTCTGAGGGACCTCTCTTGGCCACTTGAGAAGTTTCCAAGCTGGTTAGATCTCTTGACTGATTTCTTCCTGGGGATCGTGGAGTTTTCCCCCTGCCCTTGCTCATTAACCAAGATCTTTGCACTCACAGGGAGGCATCTGTAACATCACTGACAAGCAAGAGGTACCTCCTGAGGTTCCCAGCCCTGGAGACACTGATGCTGGATGACAACAAACTCTCCAACCCCAATTGCTTTGCCAGCCTGGCCGGGCTCAGGAGGTAAAGCCACAGCCTCTCTCTGCAGGGCTGTCTATAATCCCCAGCCTAGCTCACACCCTGAGTGCTGCTCCGGAAGCCAAAAGGCCTGGGTTTAAATTGCAGCTCCATCACTTATCTCTGCTGTGTGGCCATGGGTAAGTCATTTCTCCCCTCTGAGCTTTCGCTCAGCCATAAAAGCAGAGCATCAATAAAGACATTCCTTATCATGTGACTGGAATAGAAGTCAAAGAGAAAGGAGGCTAGGAGGAGATATTTTCATAGACAGGGTCTTGACCCTGAGAAAGGAGACAGAAAAAGAAGGGTCAGAAGCAGATAAGTTTAACTGCTTTTTTGATTGAAGTAATGAAAATGCTGGCACTTAAATGGTTAAGCTTTAGATCCCTGAAAAATTAACTTTGGATTCAACTACCATTTACTGAACACTACTTTGTGCCAAGCCATTAACATCACCTCATTTAGTCTTCACAAGAACCTTGAAAGGTTAATAAATATTATCGCCATTTTAGAGATAGGGATATTGAGGCCCAGAGAGCCTAAGTCACTGGCTGAAGTTCACACAAGAAGAGTAAGTGTCCAAGACTGATTCCATGTTTCTTCCCTAAAGTTACTTGGTAAGTGTCCCTGATGTATAATTATTGCTGTGATTCTGTATTCACTTTCCTTAATTGAAGACTGAAGAAGTTAAGCCTGGACCAAAACAGGATTTTCCGGATCCCGTACCTACAGCAGGTTCAGTTCCGTGACTGGTCGGGGGATTGGGTTGGAGGCAGAGGGAGTCCTTGGAGAGGCCCCCATTCCATGCTGCAGCCCAAGTCATGGGTGTTTGAGGCCTCAGATGAGCAACCGGATTATACTGTAATGCCCATGAAAAAGGATGATGACCGGACAGGTGAGTGATGCCCCTTGTTCCAGAGACTTGAGCCCCTGTGGTGAGAGTAAGCTTCTGAGAGTTTATTCTGAACGTCTGTGGCTGCCTGGGGAGCTGCCTGCACTTAAGTTATTGGGCCTGGGGAGGTGGACGTCTCACGTGAATTATTTCAGTGACTTCCCAACTAGTTCTCAGTTAAGATGCTTTTAAAATCCAATTAAAAGTTTACTTTTTAAAAAAATCTCAACAAGAAACTCAGAGGTAAGGCTTTCCAGAGATGGTTAATTCTGGAGTACACTGATGTTCTCAAGGGACTCAGGTTCTTTCCAACCTCTTTTCTGCCATCTTTGGCCGCTTGCTTGTCCTTGTAGGTTGATTCCCATTGAGGTCTCAGGATGGCCACCGCAGTGCCAAGAATCACAGCCAGACGGCAACATTCAGAGGCAGAAAAGGAAAGAAATGTCACCTTTATTATATATTCTGCTCCATTGATCTGTTCTCTATTACTGTGCCATTATCACACTAGGTTTTCTTTAAAAAAACATTTATTTATAGAAATAACTTACATAGAGTAAAATGTAGAGATGTGTAAAACTTGAACTTTTATATATATATACTTTTTAAACAACCACCCATATTACAATATAGAACATTTCTAGCATCCCATGTACCCTTCCAATCATACCTCCTCCAGGAATAACTCCATTCTGACTACTATCACCATAGATGAGTTTTGCCTGATTTGGAACTCAAGTACAGTTGATTCTTGAACACAGTGAGTTGTGGCTTAATGAAAAGAAATTTATTTTCTCACAGTTCTGAAGGCCAGAAGTCTAAGATAAAGGTGTTGTTAAATTTGGTTCCTGCTGAGGCCTTTCTCCTTGGCTTATAGATGGCCACATTCTTGCTTTGACCTCACATGGTCATCCTTATGTCTACTGTCTGTGTGCTAATCTTCTTATTTTTTGTTTTAAATAAGAAGGCCATTCATATTGGATTACGTCTTATCCTAACAACCTCATTTAACCTTAATTATCTTTTTAAGGGCTCTATTTTCAAATACAGTTACATTATGAGATTCTGGGGTTAGGGATTCAACATAAGAATTTGGTGGGGATACAACTGAGCCCATAACAAGAAATCTATTCAGTTTTACTTTATGGTTTATGCCTTTGGTTCTTATTTAAGAAGTAACTCCCTTTTTCACAGTCACAAAGGTGGTTTCCTTTTGTATGTTGCTTTCCACTTTTCTGTTTGAATTATTCTTTCAAAGAGGGTTTACATGTAGTAGATTTTTCTTTCTAAAATATCCCCAAATCACCTTTATTTTGTTACCATACTTGAATGCTAGTTTGGTTGAATAGAGAATTCTAGCTTTAAAATAATTTTCCCTTAAAACTTGGACTATATTACTCCATTACTCTCTAAATCTGTTGTTGCCAGTGAGAAGCTTCATGTCAATCTGATTCTCCTCTCTCCGTAGGAAACCTATCTGTGCTTTCTGGAATTTACTATATCCCTTTTACCCTTTGGAAATTTTACTAAGGTGCATCTACACAGACAGCTCTTTTTGTTTATCCTGTGAGGTACTTTAAAGGTTCTTTTGAGCCAAGATGTGTAGTTTTCTTCATCTTGGAGAAATTTTTAAAAATTATCTTTATTCTTGGAAGTATTACAGATGTCCTTCTTTTTCCCCCCACTGAGAAATGTTCTTTATTTTCCCCTTTCCATTTTTTTTTTCATCTTTATCTGAAGTTCCATCATATGCTTAAAGCTCTGGATCTACCTTCTATTCCTCTTTTCTGTTATACTTTATATTTCTTTGCCTTTTCACACTGCGTTCTGAGACAGTCTCTCCACTTAATCTTTCATTTTATGAATTAGCTCTTCAACTGAGTCTGTTCATTTATCCAGCACATTTATTTATTAAGTCTTTTATTTGATTATCCTATTTTAAATTCACAAAATTATTAATAGCTTCTCTCCCCTGTTTTTGTTTTAGGAATGAAATACAGTCGTCCCTCACCACTCCGCGCTTCAACTCTCGCGGCTTCACTCTTTCGCGGTTTTTTCAAATATATTCATTAAAAAGTTGATCGAGACAGTGAAAATGATACAGCGCGTGCTCGGTTGTCTGAGTCTTATACACCCCTGTATTACAATTAAAATTAAAATTACTGTACGTATGGACTGTAGGCCTATGTATTCGAGCACCCCCACAAATCCTTCAACACCGGGTGCAACCGCTAGAGTCTAGAACAGATTAACTGCGATACACGAGGGACGACTGTAGCCTTATGAATTCCTCAGAGGATACAATTATTCCATTTTTAAGTTTTTATTCTTTTTGTTAACTAAATTATCTTGTTTTCCTTTCAGATGCTGGTTCTTCTGTTTTTCATATTTATTGACTGTTTCATAGTGTTAATTTTTTCTCAAATATAAGGAGAGTCTTAATTGTCCATCTTTTTGTTGAATAATCCCCATTCAGAATCTTAGGATGTTCTGATTGTCTGGGGCTCTTCCTGAGATTGTAGGGAAGGGCAGGACATGCATTGGGCAGAGTGTGCTGCTGCTTATCTTTCTAGATGTGGAGGGCTCCTCTGCACCCACACATGTTACCATGACCCATTCTGCTAATTGCAACTTTGTTCCTTGCACAGACTTTCCCAAACTCCTTCTTAGGGGAGAACTTATTTATGCCATATAGTGTTCCACCCATATTATTGTTTACTTTATTTCATGTAACCTTTTTCAGCATATTAACATGTGGAAGGGGTCTCGTTAGCCAGAGCAAAGGTGAGTGTTGCCTGCACAGGACGTGGTCCCAGCCAATGCTCTGATTTATTAGACTGAGCTCAGCTGTTGATTGGCTCATCTCATTCTGATGGTCCCAAGAATTAAATCACTCTGCAGCCTCTTCCTTACTACTGCGCTGCTGGTTATTCTTAGTCTTTCTCCTGAATTCAATGTCTTAATATACTCTATTTATACTAATATAATAAATAGTATTTTCAAATTTTCTAACAGAGTATCTTTTTTCTACATTTCTCTCTTCTAAAATACGTTGGTTTGCCTTCTGATCAGTACTGACTGCCCAATAGTTCTGAGGCTAGAAGGAGCATGCATGTTGCAAAGTCAAAAAGGTCAAGTATGGCCCTGGTCAATTTGGCTCAGTGGTTGGAGCGTCGGCCTGCAGACCAGAGAGTCCTGTGTTCGATTCCCGCTAGGGGCACATACCCCGCCCCAAAAGGTCATGTACGGCTGAGGGGCTCAGGGTAGCATGAGATAAGATTGGATACCCTGGCCAATTCAGTTCAGTGGTTAGAGCATAGGCCTACGGACCGAAGGGTCAAGGGTTTCATTATGGTCTAGGGCATGTACCCAGGTTACAGGTTTGATCCCTGGCCCCAGTCAGGGTAACGCGAGAGGCAACCGAGAGATGTGTCTCATCTCTCATCTCTCTGTCTCTCTCTCTCTGTCTCCCTCTCTCTCTCTCTCTTTCTTCCTCCGTCCTCCTCTCTCTAAAACAATCAATGGAAAAATATCCTCTGTTGAGGCTTAACAAAAAAAATAAAGATTGGAGAAGTAGGCAGGGGTCAGGTCAGGCAGGACCTCAGAGGCCTTGCCAAGGAGTTTGGATTTTATTTTAAGTGCAGAGGGCTTATTACCTGACAGATGTCACAGCTGAGGACCCCTCTAAGGGGCACCCTGCTATACACAGTGGGTGGTAGGCCTAGATCCTGGCCTCTCTGGAGTCACTCCATGCTCTCATCCACCTTTGTTCTGTTTCTCTTTTGTTTCAGAGGTTGTGTTCTCATCCTACCCTGGATTTTCAACCTCAGAAGTAAGAACTGTTTGTTTTATATTTGTGTCCTTGAGTTAGAACATTACTTTTAATAAACAAAAATAAGCTAATGGAGCCATGAGAGACATTTATACATACACATTAGGGAAGGTGATTTGTTGAACAAGGCTTTCCTATGAGCGTGCAGTGGTAGACCAGACAAACAGGTCTGTGACCTCATAGAGCCCACAGGCCACATCATTATGCTCAGATGCTACTCAGTAGGTTGAGGTTGCTGCCCCAAGTGATCAAGCTGGCATTGAAGTGAGGCTGCCATCGGGATGAATTTCATTAGCTCCTAATTAGAGCCCCCAAAAGTGAGTGATTCTTGCCAAATTCACCATCATCCATGGTCTAATCCTTGGTGCTACTGGCTTAGACACTTTATTTTTGTTAGTCTGGAATACTGGTTTTCCTTTAAGGTAGACTCTTACTACCTAAATTCACATAGATTAATGCACTAAATGTTGATTTATTCTTTTACAATATGAAGTCTAACTGTACATTAGTTAATGGAGCTTGGAACAGAATCTTGTTCACTTGAACCTAGTCATTAGCCCAACATCTACCTTGTAATTTCCTTTGGTTCCATGTAACACAAGGGATCAGTGAGTGAACTGAGTTAGGCATGGTTAATCCAGCAATTTCAATTTTCTGTGTGATCAAACATGTTGACCCTCAGGCAACCTGGTTTGTGTTGAGAGGCCAGGACCCTACAAGTTACCCAGATGCACACTGGGCCACACTCAGGCCCTGCAGCCTGACTGAAGTAATTCAGGACTTAGCTGTTCATTCCATCCTGGCATGAACAGCCTCCACTGTAGGATGTGAGCTAACCCAGCAGACCAGATGTTCAAGGCTCAGGTCACTCTTCTCCATCTCCCCACTAGGAAAAGCCCCCTTAACAATTCAAGCAACTTCCCCTTTGTCCTTTGGAGAAATTTTAGCCCAACTGTGTAGAGGGAGGGTCCAGTTCAGGATAAGCTGCTGTAAGACAAGAGTGTGGGAAGTGGGGGCAAAGAACCTCTGATGTCTACACCAGTGCTATATTAGCCTTTGGCCTCAGAGAACTTGGAACAGGAACTATGTGTGCTGGAGAATTAGCTCTCATGTGACCTCAGAGAACTGGAGCCAGAACTCTGGGCCCTTGGAGACATCTTCCTTTATGATCCTAGATGTATGTTTTGGACAAGCCTCTCTACAATGGTCATTCTTTCCACCACATGCCATAGGAAGAGTCAGTTGATCCTCAGCAGCTTTCAACTTCTGTATTATCAAGGCACTTTGACTTTTATTTTTTTTCTTCCTTCTAAGACAACCAAGGTATGTGCACTTCCTCCCATATTCGAGGTTCTTCCCGTGAAGTTACTGAAGGCCAGGAACCAGACTCTGGCCCCACCCTTCCCAGAGCTGAGGTACCTTAGCCTGGCCTACAACAAGGTGACTTTTTGCTTCTCTACCTATTCCCTCAAGGGCACAGATGGGAGGGTGGGATGCCAGCTGCTCTGGCCTGAAGGCCAGACTTCTAATTCTCCGTTACAGGTGTGGAGGCTTAGGAATTTGCAGGGTAGGGGAAGTGGAGTGAGTTTAGGCCAAGGCAGGAGTCCATCCATTCAGTCACAGATATTGATTTAGCACTTGCCATGTATCAGGCTCTGTTTTAGGCACCAGGTATACAGCTATGTAAAGGAATCTTGGGCCTCTGCCCTTATGGGACTTATCACCTACAGGGAAGACTAATACTGGGCAAATAATCACATTATAAGCATGTTTGGTGTTACTAAGAAATTCACAGTGCTGTGAAGTATATGATCGGGGAGGGTGAGGGTCTAACCTAATATTTGGCATTAGGGAAGGTTCTGGAAAGATTGGTATTTAAGCTGAGATCTGAATCAATGAATTTAATGAGGTGAAGAGTAAGGCTACAGTATAGAGAAATGTTCTAGCCCTAAGAATACAGCAGATATCAAGTCCCTAGGACAGATTTAACATGTTTTTCCTTAACATGTTTTATGTTAACATAGTTTGCCAATATCCATGTCCTGTTTGAATTCCTGTAAACCCCACTAATTGAGCCCTACTCAAGTCTGAAATGCAGGCAACTTTTAAGGTACTCTGCTTACATCCCTTCTAAGGCAAGCAGCTAAACTCCCCAAGTGTTTTCTTCTAAGAGTTTTATAATTTTAGCTCTGACATTTAGGTCTTTGATCTATTTTGAGTTAATCTTTATATATGGTATGAAATAGGGATTTTCTCAACACCATTTATTGAAAAGACTATCCTTTTTCCACTGAATGATCTTCTTACCCTGTACAAAGTGGACCATAGATGTATTATGGGTCCCTCTTATATTCTTGAAATTGGTAATTTGTCTCTTTCTTCATATTAATCTAAAATAGAAGTTATCCCTTTTATTGAATGTTTTATTATTAAACTAGCTATTGGTTTTACTGGATTTCTTTATTATGTGTCTGTTTTCCTTTTTATTGATTTCTGCTCAAAACTTTTTGTCCTACTCACAGTGAATTTATTTTGCTTCTCTTATTCTAGTTTCCCAACTAGTGTAATTGTAGGCCAATGATTTAAACCTTTCTTCTTTTTAATATAAGCATATAAAACTAAATTTCTTTCTAAGAAAAATAAATTTAGAAAAAATGTGTATTCTGCAGTTTGGGGGTATAATCTTCATTCCATAAATATCAATTGAGTTAAGGTGGTTGTTTATTGAGAGTTGTGTGTTAAAATCTTCAGTCATGATTGTACATTTGTTTATTTTTTTTCTCCCTTTAGTTTTGTCAGTTTTTGCTGCATGTGTTTTGAAGCTCTACTACTTTTAGAATTTTTATATCTACCTAATATGTTGCTCTTTTCATTATTATGACTGGCATCACTGCCTTTAATAATATAGCTTGTCTTGATATCTATTTTGTCTGATTTTAATATAGATACATAGCATACTCTTACTATTGGCATAGTATCTCTCTATCCTTTTGCTTTAACCGATTTATAGCTTTATATTTAAAGTGCTTCTCTTTGGCCCTGGCCAGTTTGGCTCAGCAGTTAGAGCATCAGCCCATGGACCAGAGAGACCCGGGTTCAGTTTTAGCTAAGGCTCATACCTTGGTTGCAGTTTGTCCCCGAACCCGGTTGGAGTTGTGTGGGTGGTAACCAGTTGATGTGTTTCTCTCACATCAATGTTTCTCTCTCTCTCTTCCTCCCTCTCTCCCTCCCGCTCTATCTGAAAATAAATGCAAAAATGTCCTCAGGAGAGGATTAAAAAATAAATAAATAAAGTGCTTCTCTTTGAGACAGTATATAGTTGGTTCTTGCTGGGGTGCCAGAGCATTTTTCCTTTTTTTAAGAGAAAATCTTTTTCTTTTTTCTTTGATTTTAGAAAGAGAGGAAGGGAGAGGGAGATGGAAACATCAATGAGAGAGAACATCAATTGGCCACCTCCTGCATGCCCCCCACTGGGAATTAGGCCCACAACCTGGGCATATGCCCTGGCCGGGAATCGAACTGGCAACCTCTTGGTACATGAGTCATCGCTCAACCACTGAGCCACCCCAGCCAGGCCAGATCATTTTTCTGTGTTCCTGCTCTATTCTCAGCTTGCAGCCTTCCCTGGGTTCTTACACCTGAGGGATTTATCTCCACACTCTTATTCCTTCCCCATCGATAGACTGTTTTTGCTTGTTACTTAGTGTTAGCTACTCTGGTGGTAATGGGGCCAATGGGAGGGTCCAACCCAGTCTTAAGTAGGCCCTGGGTTCCTGTGTCCCAAGAATTGGCCTTTTACCCTGGCCAGTGTTGCTCAGTGGTTAGAGTGTCGGCCCACATGCTGAAGGGTTATTGGTTCTATTCCCAGTCAAGGGCACATACCTGGGTTAGAGACTTGATCCCCAGCCCTGGTAGGGGCACATGCAGGAGGCAAGCAATCATTGTGTCTCACATTGATGTTTCTCTCTCTGTCTCCCCACCCTTCACTCCCTTCCAGTCTCTCTAAAAACCAATGGAAAAAATACCCTCAGGTGGGGATTAACAAACAAAAGAATGGGCCTTTCTCAGTAGTCCTACCCATCTCCCAGGTGTAGAAGACCTCTAATGTAGTGGGCTCCAGTTGACTTCCTGCCCCTACTCCAGGAAGAGTAGGTTTTATATCTTCCCCCCTTCCCCCCATCCCCTGGGCAGGGCCCTAGACATAACAGAGTTTGCTGACCTTCCTCAGCAACTTCAACCTTTTGTTCACCAGGAAGAAAGGCTGGCAAGAGTTCCTGCCTTACCTGTAATGGCAGCTGCTCAACTCCTCCAGGCCTACACCTGAGGAAGGCATCCTCCAATCTCCCTTGGGTGTCTAGTCTTTCACACACAAGTGGATGTGAATTCCCCTCGTGTCTTCAGCCTGTTCTCTTACTCTGGCCCACATTTGTCCTCTAGCAATTCATTAACATTTTTAGCTGATTTCTTCTTAAATGCTTGTGTGGCACTCACCATCTCTTCCACAATCTGCCACAGGCGAGCCAGTGTCTGTGTCCCATCTTTCCTTCGATGTGCCCCTCTAACTTTAGATTTCAGCCCATTGATTGCGCTGAGACCTTAGCTCTCTGTTGGACTCAAGAAAAGTTATGATATAAGTTATGATATAAGTTACTCAGTTTTTTTTCTCATTGTGAGGAGGGGAGCAGCACTCTTTCCATTTTTCCTGTATTTTCATTTGAGATTTTAAATGATATTTTCCTTTATGACAGTTACCACCTCACACACATAGTTTTGTCTATTATCAGTTGTCTACTGCCAGAATGTAGAGGTTTTTTTTTTTTTTTAAGAATTTTTATTTATTTTTTTTGTTACAGATATTTTACCTTTTTACCCCATTGGCACCCCCCACCCCACCCCACCTCCGCCCCGTCCCCGGCTTAGTTGTCCATGTCCATTGGTCATGCATACATGCATATAAGTTCTGTGGTTTATCTCTTCCCACCCCCCCACCCCCCATCCCCTCTTCTGAGGGATGTCAGTCTGTGCCCTACTTCCATGTGTCTGGGTCTACTGTATTTAGAGGTTTTTTTTGAGACCTAGAACTTCGTTTTGCTTCCAGCTATATCTCCATCATCCAGAACAGTACCTGATACGTGATAGGTATTCATTCAGTAAGTTTGTTGGATGAATGAATTATGTTTTGATGATATGAAGGAATACTCAGAGCTACCTGTGGTAAAATTGAGGTTAACATTCAACATATTAAAGTTACAAATTTTAAAACTAATTTTGCCTTTAAATGGAAACTTATGTTCATAATATCCACTCAGAAATCTAGTAATTTTTTGTGTCAAAAATAGCCTTCAGAATCCACCAAAGAAACTACTAGAGTTGATAAATGAATTCAGCAAAGTAGCAGAATACAAAATTAACATCCAGAAATCGATGACATTTTTATACACCAATAATGATCTCTCTGAAAGAGAAACTAAAAAAGCAATCCCTTTTACCATTGCAACAACAAAAAATAAGATACCTAGGAATAAATTAACTAAGGAGGTGAAAGACCTGTATTCAGAAAACTATAGGATGTTGAAAAGAGAGATAGAGGAAGATACAAACAAGTGGAAGAATATACTGTGTCCATGGATTGGAAGAATTGACATCATTAAAATGTCCATACTACCCAAAGCAATCTATAGATTCAGTGTAATCCCTATTAAAATGCCAATGGCGTATTTCACAGATCTAGAACAATTACTCCAAAAATTTATATGGAACAAAAAAAATAATCTTGAAAAAGAAGAACAAAGTAGGAGGGAATCACAATACTGAATATCAAGTTATACTACCAAAGCCATTGTAATCAAAATAGCCTGCTACTAGCATAAGAACTGGCATATAGATCAGTGGAACAGAACAGAGAACCAAGAAATTGACCCAAGCCATTATGATTAATTAATATTTGACAAAGGTGGCAAGAGCATACAATGGAGTAAAGACAGTCTCTTCAATAAATGGTGTTGGGAAAATTGGACAGCTACATGCAAAAAAATAAAACTAGACTTTCAACTTACACCATACACAAGAATAAACTCAAAATGGATAAAAGACTTAAATGTAACTTGTGAAACCATAAAAATCCTAGAAGAAAACATAAGTGGCAAAATCTCAGACATCTCACGTAGCAGAATTTTCACCAATACATTGCCTGGGGCAAAAGAGACAAAGGAAAAAAGTAAACAAATGGGACTACATCAAACTAAAAAGCTTCTGCATAGCAAAAGAAACCAGCATCAAAATGAAAAGGGAACCCACTGTATGGGAGAACGCATATGCCAATAATATATGTAAGGGGTTAATTCTCAAAATACATAAAGAACTCATACAACTCAACAAAATGAACACAAATAATCCAATTTAAAAATAGGCAGAGGACCTGAATAGAGTCTTCTCCAAACAGGACATACAAATGGCTAAGAGACATAAGAAAAATGCTCAACATCACTAATCATCAGAGAAATGCAAATTAAAACAACCATGAGGTATCACCTCACACCTGCTAGAATGACTTTCATCAATAAATCAACAAATGACAAGTGCTGGCAAGGGTGTGGAGAAAAGGAGACTCTAGTACACTGCTGGTGGGAATGCAGACTGGTGCTGCCACTATGGAAACCATTATAGAGTTTCCTCAAAAAATTAAAAATTGAACTGCCTCTTGATCCAGTGACCCCACTTCTAGGAATATATACTAAGAAGCCTGAAATACCAGTCAGAAAGAATATTTGCACCCCTATGTTCATAGCAGCGCTATTTACAATTGCTAAGATCTGGAAACAGCCCAAGTATCCAACACTAGATGAGTGGATAAAAAAACTATGGTACACCCTGGCTGGTACACCCTCAGTGGTTAGAGCATCAGCCTATGGACCAGAGAGTTCCGGGTTTGGTTCCCACTAAGGGCATGTACCTCGGTTGCAGTTTGTCCCCGCCCTCGTTGGGGTCATGTGAGTGGCAACCACTCGATGTGTCTCTCTCTCTTCCTCCTTCTCTCCCTCTCGCTCTGTCTGAAGATAAATGCAAAAATGTCCTCAGGTGAGGATAAAAAAAAATTAAAAAAGAAAAAGCTGTAGTACATTTACACAATGGAATACTATGTAGCTATAAAAAAGAAGAATCTCTTACCCTTTGAGGCAGCATGAAGAGACCTGGAGAGTATTATGCTAAGTGAAATAAGTAGTCAAAGAAAGGCTAGTATCATGTGATCTCACTTATATGTGGAATCTAATCAACAAAATATATCCAGAGACCCTGGAAGCAGGGAACAGACTGACGATTCTCAGAGGGAAGTGGGGGTGGGAAGAGATAAACCAAAGAACTTATATGCAGATATGCATAGCCCATGGACACAAACAACAGTGCAGTGAAGGGGGAGCCAGCAGGAGCAGGGTGGAGGGGGGGAATGGGAGGAATGGGGGAAAAGGAGGAAGATCTATAATACAACAATAAAGATAAATTTAAAAATAAAATAATCACTTTCAACATGTACTGTGTCCATGGATTTTTTTTTTACTTTAAATAATTTTTTAATTTTTCAATTATAGTTGATATACAGTATTACTTTCAGCTGTACAACCTAATCATTAAACATTTATATAACTTACTAAGTGATCATCCTAATAAACCTAGTACCCATCTGACACTATACATAGTTATTACAATATTATTGACTATATTCCCTATCTCTACTTTACATCCACATGACTATTCTGTAACTATCAATTTGTACTTCTTAATTCCTTCACCTTTTTCACCCATCCCCCCAATGGTTCTCTCATCTGGTAACTATAAAAATGTTCTCTTTATCTGTGAGTCTGTTATTATTCTGCTTGTTCATTTATTTTGTTTTTTAGATTCCTACCTATAAGTGAAATCATGGCATTTGTCTTTCTCTGACTCATTTCACTCAGCACAATACCCTCTAGGTCTATCTATGTTGTTGCAGATGACAAGATTTCATTCCTTTTGTATGTCTCAGTCACTTTCCACTGTATATATGCACCACTTCTTCTTTATCTACACATCTATTTTTTTTATTAATTTATTTTGTTACAGATGTTTCTCCCTTTTCCTCCATTGACACCTTCCTCCCCATCCCTCCCTCCGCCGTCCCCAGCTTTGTTGTCCATGTCCATTGGTTATGCGTACATGCATATAAATTCTGTGGTTTATCTCTTCCCCCTCCCCCCATTCCCTATCCACTCATCTATTGATGAACACTAGGTTGCTTCCATATCTTGGCTGTTGTAAATAATGCTGCAATGAACATATAGATGCATATGTCTTTTTAATACAGTGTTATGGGTTTTTTCAGATAAATACCCAGAATTGGAATTTCTGGGTTCTTCTTTGTCTCTTGTTATATAGCCTTTGTTTTAAAGTCTGTTGTGTCTGGTATAAGTCTTACTACCCCAGCTTGCTTCCATTTTAATGAAATACCTTTTTTCATCCTTTTCAGTGTGTATTTGGCTTTCAATCTGACGTGAGTCTCTTGTAAGCATATGTGTAAGGGTTTTGTTTTGTTACCCATTCAGCCTCCATATGTCTTTTGATTGGTGTATTTAAAGTAATTGTTGAGCCCTGGCCGGTTTGGCTCAGCGGTTAGAGCATCGGCCTGTGGTCCGGAGAGACCCGGGTTCGGTTCCCGCTAAGGGCATGTACCTCGGTTGCAGTTTGTCCCCGGCCCTGGTTGGTCATGCAGGTGGCAGCCACTTGATGTGTCCCTTTCACGTCGATGTTTCTCTATCTCTCTCTCTCTCTTCCTCTCTCTCCCTCCCACTCTATCTGTGCAAAAAATGGAAAAAAAAATGTCCTCGGGTGAGGATAAAGTAATTGTTGATAGATATGCATTTATTGACATTTTATTATTCATATGTTGTATCTTTTTTCTCTTCTTCTTAAAGAAGACCCTTTAACATTTCTTGGAGGTCTCAAAGGTACCTTTAAAGTACATGTATGCAAAGTGAATTAATGATCTTTCCCTTAAAATCTGATATTCTTCTGTTGTTCCATACCTTAGGGAATAGCTTCATCATCTACCCAGTTGCTCAAGCCAAAACCTGGTTGTCATCCTTTATGTTTCTCTCTCCTTTACATTGCTCCCCCTTACCCATTTCTCCTCCATTACCAAGTCTTGTCACATTTAGGTCCTCATGTTTCTAAAATGTCATCCAATAAGTTCCCCCAAGGATCAAAATCTTTAACTAGCTTTAGTCTGGCCCATACTTGCACCATTGGCCTCATTTTGCAAGAAGCACTCTTTTTCTCTGCTTTAGTCACACTGTCTTCTTTACATCCCCCCAACAGGCTGCTTCGTGCTGTTGGGCCTTTCACATATTGTGCTCTTGCATGGAACACTTCCTCTCTGCGTTCATTATCGTAAGTAATACTAGCTACCAAAACAAACTTTAAAATCTCAGTGACTTAACACAATAAAAATTTATTTCTTACTTTTACAAAATCTACTGTGGATATTCCTGGTTGGCTGGTGGCCTTCCACATGATCATTCAGAGACCAGGTTCCTTCTGGCTCTGGCTCTGGCACCTCATAGGGCCTTAAGAGTACTTTATTGGCTCCTAGGCTTCTGTTGGATAGGTGGTTGAGAGATGCAGGGGATCATGCAGGAGGTGTTGAAAGGGCTATGCCTGGAAATGGCATTTATCACTTCCACCAAGGTTGCATTGGCTAGAACTGAGTCTTATGACCACATCCGGCTGCCTAGGAGGCAAGAAGATGCAGTCTCACTGTGTGCCCAGAAAGTAGAGGAAATGATTTTGGGTAATGCAGAGGTTTCTCTGCCACATACTCCATCTCCCACTGCATTTACTAATACCTTCTACTCACCCTTCAGATCTCAAAAATGCCTTATCTCCCTCACTAGGTCAAGTCACCCTAGTACTTCATATGCCTCTCTTTTATGGCACTAGTCACAGTTGTAAATCTACCCTTCTTCCTGTTACTGTTTCTTCCATGCTTGTTTCCCACTAGGCAGTGCTGCGTGAGGACAGGAGTTATATCTGTTTTACTCATTTCCAACCTAATGCTTAGCACATGTAGGCATGCAGGAATTTGACCGAATGAAAAAAAATGAAAGACGATGACTAGGTTAATTGCTCATTGTGCGTAGTGCTACCCAGTGAAGCTCAGAGGAAGCCAAACTGAACCGCCCTCCTCCTTCTGGCCCTCAGACCTTAGCACCTGCTGTGGGTCCTGACTCCGACCCAACAGCTTTCAGTGTATCCAGGCATCTGAAAGGTCACTGCCCACTCCTGGCCCCTGTAATACTGATGGCTCTGATGCTGTTCCATTGCTAACAGACTCCTCCCCAAAGCAGTCCCCAGATGTTCCAGTCACTCTGCTCAACAAGAATGGTGTAATATTTGCCCTTCAGAGGCTGGCCTCACAGGGATGGAGTGGCCTCTGGGCCTCAGACAGCCATAAGGTCTCCCTTACCATGTGCTGTGCTTATTCCTTAGATGGGGGGGTTCCCCTGACCTCCTGTCCCCTTTCCCTCCCCAGATTAGTGCCCAAGCCAGGCCTCAGTGAAAGAGACCATCAGAAATGCTGTTGACAGACTGATGGGGTGTATAGAGGTTGCATTAAGGAAGGTGAAGTGTCAGACAAATTGTATCCTGAAGTGGAAGTCAATGCCCTCCCTACCTTTCAGACTCCTTGCAAGACAAATGCTATATGTGTTTGTCATTATTTTGTTACCAACATCCTCAATACTTGGTCTTGGGTGCATAACCAGTGTGGAGAAGGAAAAAAATGTATTAACTTTCAAACCTGAAACAACTATGGCGGAATTTAGACAGGAGGGGCAAGGTGTTCTGGGTGTGAGCTGGTGAAATTGCAGGGATAAGAGGCTGCCCAGCATGAGTCCCATCCACAGCAGCATCACTTGGCCAGCCCCATCCCAATCCTAGCAAGCATGTAGCCCTGGAGTGTGGGCCCAGGGGCGCTTGGCAGAGGTGAGGGGGAGTGTGGACCTGATGCGCTCTCCTGCCTGCCTCACAGATTTCGAAGGAAGACGCCATCCTGCCAGTAGCTCTCTTCCCATCTCTCTGTGAGCTCGTCTTTCATAACAACCCTCTGGTGGTCCACAGACGAGGTATGGTGCCTGCAAAGCTGCCCCCAACCCAGTGCCCAGGAAGCATTGTGGGCACCTTCATCCCTACCTCACTGATGCCAAGCCCTGGGCTCTGCTACCCATCATGGGTAGACAGGGGGGATGGAGAATACAACAGACACCCATTCATCCTGACAGCAACCCTGTGAGGCAGGCATTAGTGTCCCTGTGCACTGTGGAGGAAACTGAAAATCAGGGAGGTTCGTGACCTACGCAAAGTCACACAGCAAGAAAGAGGCATAACTGGGAATGAAATACAGAATTATCTAGATCCAGCATGAGCTATTTAAGTGACACCCTGCTTTATGGAACAGGTCTATTGTGGCCTCATTTACCAGTTGGGGAGTGTGCAGGTGCTGGGCTGTCCCCTCCCAGAGCACACTGAATGCAGGCGTACTGTGTCAGCAGTGGAATCCACTGTCCAAGATGAGCTAGTGGGAGGCATTTTAGAATCCTGGGCCCTGGAGTGACAACAGCAGAGTTCTAATCCTTGTTCCACACTGTGTTGCCTTGGGCAAATTCCTTTACCTCTCTGTGCCTCAGTTTCCTCACCTATCAAATGGAAATAACATGGCCCTGGCTGGTTTGGCTCAGCGGTTGGAGCGTCAGCCTGCGGACCAGAGAGTCCGAGGTTCGGTCCCCACTAGGGGCATGTACCAAAAAAAAAAGGAAATAATATGGGTACCTGCCTCCTAGGGTTGGTGTGAGAATTAAGTAAGGTAATATATGTACAGCAATTTGAACAGTGTCTGGCACCTAGTAAGCCCCCAGTAAATGTTAGCTAACTGTAATCTTATTTTCCCATCATGACTCTAGGGGTCCCTCCACTGTTAAAAAGCTTCCTCCAGGAGCGGCTGGGGATCCACTTAATTCGAAGAAAGATAGTGAAGGCTAAGCATCATATGTTGATGCCTCGGAAGGCCTCACGGAAGGTAAGGCTTCCAAGGTGGGACCCCCAACCCCAGAGGGGGTGGAGCCTGTAGCAATGCACGTGGACTAACCTGGCGCTAGAGCTGCACTCTCCCACAATGCCTAGGATCCCTCCATTAGGGTTGTAGTAGCAGTAGTCTTCTCCATACCTTGCTCTATTAATACAGATAAACTCAGAAGGGATGAGATGGTCAGAGAGACCCAGAAGGCAGTCAGGAGGAGCCTTGCAGGTCATTGAACCTGACCCCTTAATTTTACAGAGAAACTGAGGCCCAGAGTAGGAGCTGTAAGATGTGGGGAGAATCAGAAGACCCAGGTATGAGCCTGGCCCCATCACATTCCATAGCTGTCTGAACTTGGGCAAGAGTTGCAATCTCTGAGCTTCAGCTTCTCAACTCTAAAACCTCTCAGAGCTGCTGAGAGGACTGGATGAAGCACAGATATGAAAATACACGATAAACTCCCAAACCCATACCAGTGCAAGTTATGGTCAGCGTGTCAGTCATGAAGACTGTGCCAGGCCTAGAATACACCTCTCCTGCCTGGATGGTAAGAAGCATTTCCTTATGTTGAGAGCAGTTGGCTCCTCTGTACCTTCCCAAGCCACTGGTCCTAGAGTTGCCTTCTGGGATGCCTTAAAGTAAGTTAAATCACTCTTTCATCTAATGGATTTCAGAAATTTCTGTGAAATGCTCCTCCCTCCTGAACTTTAGTCTTCCTATAGCCGAAAGCTGGACTGGACATTGCTGGTACCAAAAGTTAAGTACAGTTTTCCCTGTAGCCTGCCTCTGCCCAGCCAAGCTTTTCTTGTCTGGAACCCTCATAGGACCAAAGTAGCATTTAAAATAAGAAATAGACAGAAGTTCAAAGCATTTCTATCACCTTCCCCTTGTCTGTTGCCTCCTCTAAGGATCCAGCTACCTCCCTTCCCAACAGCAGCTGGGGATGGGCAGAATCAGAGTGAGCCGGATGCTAAGTACATAACCTTCTCTCCCATGTACAGAGCACCCATGCCCAGTTCTGTGCTGAGCACTTGCACATGTGCTATCCCATAATCCTCACAACAGACAAGGAAGCAGGTTCAGAGAGGTGAAATAAAGAGTTGTTAAAAATTGGTGTTCAGGTCCAGAGGAACCTCTGAGGTTCCAACTGATAGACGAGAAAGACAAATCCAGTGGCTAAATGAGAAGCGAAGTAGTGCTTTATAAATCTAGGTAAACACCATCTAACGGCCAGTGCAGACTAGACGAGAATGTGGCTAGGCCTTTAGCTAGATTGGAGATGCCTACATGCCCCGGTGTACTCACAGAGGTGGCTGATGCACCTCTGGGCCATTTACTGTCAGTTACACGGACAAGGCCTACTGGCACCCCCTCAGGCCCAGGCATGACAGAACAGGGGTGGAGGACCTTCCAGAGCAGGCCCAGACCCACCAAACATGTAACCAAGAAGCTGTGTAATAAGTCCTTTGCATGTGAGAACACAAATGGAAGATAAAACAGCCTATCCTTGATGTTGGCCAGTCCAGCTCACCAGGGACATAGGGCCCGGTGACTGTCAACCTCTGACCAATTAGGTGATCCAGTCTTTCCTCAAGGAGGAGCTGGGAAAGTGGCAGAGAACTAGACAAAGAGTAGAACCGCATTTCAGCCCTTATTTTTCTAACAGTGCTTACGGTCTTCCCACTACACTACCTCGTCTGTCAAAGTATAGATATATGTGAACCAAATACCCTTGACTAAGAATAAAATCAACCCCCAAGTCACTTGGGTGAGGACAAGTCACTAAGCCCAGCTGAGGGAAACTGAGCTCATGTCTCGCTCCTGGCAGCTGAGGCAGAGGAGGAGGGAGGGAGGGCGACAGGCTTTTTGCTACTTAAGGAAGCTGAACAGTGCAACAGGAAAGAAGTTATTTCCTTGGTCCTGAACCCTGAGATTTAACTTATGGATCTTTTGTTTTTTCTTTATTGATTTTTAGAGAGAGAGGAAGGGAGAGGGAGAGAGAGAAACATTGATGAGAGAGAACATCAATCGGCTGCCTCCTATATGCCCCCCACTGGGGATCGGGCCCACAACCTGGGCATGTGCCCTGACCAGGAATTGAACCGGCGACCTCTTGGTGCATGGGTTGATGCTCAACCACTGAGCCACACCGGCTGGGCTACCTTATGAATCTTTATATAAGGTGCAGGGACCAGCATCCTGAATGGGGCCTGGTGCTGCTGCCTTCCAGAAAATGCAGGACCATCTCCCCCATGCCCTCCTAGGAGTCCCTGAGGAAAGTCAAGGAAACTGTGTTAAACCTTGAACAGAGGAATAAGGCTACTGAAGGCGGGAGTGATACAGTCAGGGGTTTAGAATGAGGCCTGGAGCCCAGGACAGGAATTAGATAGTCCAGGCTCTGCCACTGAATAACTCTGTGACATTGGACAAGTCATTTTACCTCTCTGAGTCCATTTCCTCATCTAAAATGAGGATAATTATTCACTGGGTAATTTTGAGGTATAAATAAAACAACATATGTCATGCATAGGGCACATCATAGGTGCCCAGTAAGTGTGATTTTGCTCTCTCCCTCCCCCTGTGAGCCCTCACCCAGTACTCTGGTCACTGTACCAAGTGGCCTTAGGCTGGCGAGGTCCAGGAGGAGAGATTCCAATTAGGAAGCCAACCAATACAACCCTTCTCCCATGACAGGTGAAAACCCAAGTCCCAAAGGTGCCAAAGCAGCCCCTGATGCTCCATCACCTACCTGCAACCACAGTGGAGTCTCCCTCACAGGAGATGTTGGAGGCACAGCTGGCTGAAGTGCCGCCGACTGCTCTGAGGCCAGATATGCCCATTGAGGGCCTGCGGGGCCTTTCCCTGCACCGCCGGCCCTTCGTGCCACTTCCTCCCATCTGCTCTGACTCCACTGTGCATAGTGAAGAGACCACGTCTCACCCAAGCGACACTGCTGGCCACCTCAGCGTGGAGAACCCATCAGACGAGGACACCAAGAGCACAGAGTCCATCTTCTTGACGCAGGTGCCTGGATCCATCTGGCCGAGCACTTGTTCCCAGTTCCCACAGGTTCCTGCACACCCCTTAGGTAGCTGGAGCGCTGTAGGCAGCTGGAAGCGAGTACTTGGCGGGTCAGGAAATCAGAAGGCAGCACCCTGGCAGGGCCTGCAAGGCCCTTTTAGGAGACCCACTGGTCCATGGCTACTAGTAGGGACACCTGTACGGACAGTCATGGTCCTGTGGCAGAGAAAATACCTGCGGTCTGACTAGGGTATGGTTCTAGCCAGTTTTTAGGAAGGGTTGCTGCTGCCTCTGCCTATCTGCTTAAGGTCACCTCACTTTTGATGCTGCCTCTGAATCCTGGGAATACAAATGGATGAGACATGGTCCTGCCCTTGAGATAGCCTTAGTCTAAAGGGGGAGGTGGGTAAGAACAACGCACATAGTCAGTGCTGAAAGTGAGAAGCCCGGGGGCTGGAAGCCTAGAGGAAGAGGGGAAGCCTCTGTCCCGGACCAGAAGGGCAGGCTTCCTGGAAGAGGTTCGAATGAGATGAGATCTGCAGCCTGAATAGGAGTTAACAAGGTGAGGACATTAGGCAGCAAGGGCGTTCTGGGCAGAGCGAACAGCATGAAGCAGGATACAGAGGAGGGAAATTAAAATGGTATGTGCACGAGCCACAAATAGTTCAGTGTCGGGGCAACAGAAGGGTGACATGTAGGAAAAAGGAAATATAAGGCTGGAGGAGTTGGCAGGGCCCCCTTAAACTTCATTATTGTACCATTGCCCTCCCTGATCTCTGTACCTCCAGTCTTGCCCCTTCAATATGCCAGATCTTTCCAAAATGTACACCTGTCCATTTATGTCTAATTCTCTGTTCACCCATCTCTTACTCCACAGATGATTTATAGTGACATACATATTATATACAGTATAAAAGTATCTTTATGGCCCTGGCCAGTTTTCTCAGTGGTTAGAGCATTGGCCCATGAACCAAAGGGCCATGGGTTTGATTCTGGTCAAAGGCATGTACCTGGGTTGCAGGTTTGATTCCCGGCTCCGGTCAGGGTAGTGCAGGAGGCAACCGATTAATGTGTCTCTCTCACATCAATGTTTCTCTCTCCCTCTCTCCCTTCCACTCTCTCTAAAAAGCAAAAGAAAATATCCTCGGGTGAGGATTTTTAAAAAAGTATCTTTATGAACTGTAACATTTTTGGAGTACAGTGCAAACAAGTAAGCATTAAAAAATAAATAATTGCGCCTGGTCAGTGTGGCTCAGTGGATTGAGCATCATCCCATGGACTGAGAGGTCCCAGTTCCATTCCTGGCCAGGGTACATGCCCCGGTTGTGGACTCGATCCTTAGTAGGGGATGTGCAGGAGGCAGCCAATCGATGTTTCTCACATCATTGTTTCTCTCTTTCTTAAAAATAATAAAATAAACAATTGAGAGAGTTGTATGATAGGAAAATATGGACAGGAAAAAAATAAGTCCAAGGGTAATTCTGTCACTCAAATGTACACATCACCCACTGATGCTCTCATAATAGAGGTGTATTGCCAAAATCAATTCTGAGCTTCCTAGCAATCAAAGCAAAAAATCGAGTCACCATGATTGAAAAAAATACCTTTTCTCCCCTTGCCTAATTGCCAAGGTTATAACCTCCAGTACAATGTTGAGTAGAAATGGCAAGAGCTGACATCCTTGTCTTAGTCCTGATCTTCATAGGAAAGCTTTTAGTTTTTCAACATTAATTATAATGTTAGTAGTGAGTTTTTCATAAGTGGAAGAAATTTTCTTCTATTCCTAGTTTGTTGAAGGGTGTTAGATTTTGCCAAATGCTCTTTCTCTGTCTGCTGAAATGATTATGTGGTTTGTGTACTTTATCTTCTGATATGGTATATATATTACATTTGATTTCTGGGTATTAACCAACCTTGCATACCTGGGAAAAATCCCACTTGGACACAGCATATAATCATTTTTATATGTTGTTCATTTGATTTGCTAGTTTTTTGTTTTTTTTTTAAATCCTCACCTGAGGACATTTTTGCATTTATCTTCAGATAGAGCGGGAGGGTGATAGGGAGGAAGAGAGAAACATCGATGTGAGAGAGAGACATCGACTGGCTGCCACCCACATGACCCCAACTGCGGCCGGGGACAAACTGCAATTGAGGAATGTGCCATTAGCAGGAACCGAACCCAGGACACTGGTCCGCGGGCCAAACCGGCCAGGGCTGATTTGCTAGTCGTTTTTGAGGATTTTTGTGTTTATATTCATAAGGATACGAGTCTGTAGTTTTCCTTTCTTGTGAGATCTTTCCTTAGTTTTAGTTTCAGGGTAAAACTGACCTCAGAGAACTAGTTGGGAGTGTTTCTTCTTCTTATAATTTTTGGAAGAGTCTGTGAAGGATTAGTGTTCTTTTTTTCTTTATTTTTTTCTAACTTCTGTTAAAAAAAAAAACCTTCCCTGAACATGCTTGATTTTTTTTGTTTTACTCCTAATCCCTGTTGTAGTAATTTTTTTTCTTTATTGATATTAGAGAGAGAGAGGAAGGGAGAGGGAGAGATAGAAACATCAATGAGAGAGAACATTGATTGGCCACCTCCTGCATGCCCCGCACTGGGGAATCAAACTGGCGACCTCTTGGTGCATGGGTTGATGCTCAACCACTGAGCCGCACTGGCTGGGCCAACTGCTGTAGTGAATTTATTTTTCATTTTCAATTACAGTTTACTTTTAATATTATTTTGTATTGGTTTCAGTTGTACAGCACTGTGGTTAGACAATCATATACTTTACAAAGTGTTCCCCCAATATTTCCAACACTCACCTGGCACCATACATAGTTATTGCAATATTATTGACTGTGTTCCCTCTGCTGTACTTTACAGCCCTGTGACTATTTTGTAACTACCAATCTGTACTCAGTCTTTTCCTGTCTCCCAACCCTCTCCCCTCTGGCAACCATCAGTCCACAATCTGTGTCTTCTGGTTTAGTTTTGTTTGTTTATTCTGTTCATTAGATTCCATATATAAGTAAAATTATATGGTATTTGTCTTTCTCTGACTTATTTCACACAGCATAATACCCTCTAGATTCATGAATACTTTTGCAAATGGTAAGCTTTCATTCTTTTTTTGTTGAGTAATAGTCCATTGTGTGTGTGTGTGTGTGTGTGTGTGTGTGTGTGTGTGTATACTGCTTTTTTATCCACTTGTCTATTGATGGGCACTTGGGTTGCTTCCATATTTTGGCTATTATAAATAATGCTGCAATGAACATAGGGGTGCATATATTCTTTCAAATTAGTATTTTGAGTCTCTTTGGATATATACCCAGAAGTAGAATGGCTGCATCATAAGGCAGTTTATTTTGAATTTTTTTAGGAACCTCCATACTGTTTTCCATAATGGCTGTTCCAATCTGCATTCCCTCCAACAGTGCACAAGGGTACACTTTTCTCTACATCCTCACCAACAATTGTTTGTTGATTTATTGATGATAGCCATTCTGACAGGTGTGAGGTGATATCTGATTGTGGTTTTAATGTGCATTTCTCTGATTAGTGACATTGAGCATCTTTTCATGTCTGTTCTCTTTGGAGAAATGTGTACTCAGGTCCTCTACCCATTTTTTAATTGGAGATTTTTTGTTTTTTGTTATTTTTTTTTTGGTGTTGAGTTGTATGAGTTCTTTATAAATTTTGGGTATTAACCCGTATCAGATGTATCATTGGCACATATGTTCTCCCAGTAAGTAGGATGTGCAAAAACTTTTTAGTTTGATGTAGTCCCATTTCTTGTTGTTGTTGTTGTTTCCTTGGCCTCGAGGAGATATATCACAAAAAATATTGCTAAGAGAGATGCCAGAGATTTTATTTTATTTATTTATTTATCTTTTTAATTTTTAAAAGACTTGGAATTATTTTTATTAACATCTTTGTCATTTTCTCTTGGGAGGGGCATCTCCTTCCCATAGCTCTACCATTCCCAAACATAAGCTTAATAAAAACAAGAACTGTATCTATTTTGTTCATCATAACACAAGCACTCAATAAATGTCTGTTCGATTAAAAAATTAAAAAAAAATTTTTTTTGTTACAGATGTTTCTCTTTTTTTACCCCATTGGCCCCCCTCTCCCCATTCCCTCCACCCCGTCCCCGGCTTTGTTGTCCATGTCCATTGGTTATGCATACATGCATGTAAGTTCTGTGGTTTATCTCTTCCCACCTCCCCCCACCCCGATGCCAGAGATTTTACTGCCTATATTTTCTTCTAGGAGTTTTATGGTTTTGAATTTTATATTTAAGTCTTTAATCCATTTTGAGTTTATTCTTGTGTATGGTGTAAGGAGGTGGTCTGGGTAGGTTTTTTTATTTTTTGCATGTATCTGTCCAATTTTCCCAGTACCCTTTACTGAATAGACAATTTTTACCACATTATTTGTTCTTGCCTCTTTTGTCAAATATTAATTGACCATATAGATGTGGGTTTATTTCTGTTCCATTGATCTATGTATTTATGCCAGTACCATGCTGTTTTGATCACTATGGCCTTATAGTATAATCTGCTATTAGGTAGCTTGATACCTCCAACTTTGTTCTTCATTCTCAGGATTACTGAAGCTTTTCTGGTGTTTTTGTTTCCACATAAATTTTTGGATTGTTTGTTCTAGTTCTGTGAAAAATGCCATTGGTATTTTGATAGGATTTGTGTTGAATCTATAGATTGCTTTGAGTAGTATGGAGATTTTAATGATGTTAAGTCTTCCTATCCATGAACACAGTATATGTTTCCATTTATTTGTGTCTTCAGTTTTTTTCTTCAGTGTCTTCTTATTTTCCAAGTACAGGTGTTTACCTCCTTGGTTAAATTTATTCCTAATTTTTTTTTTAAAAAATATTTTAATTGATTTTTAGAGAGTGAGGAAGGGAGAGGGAGAGAGACATAGAAACATTGTTAAGAGAGAACATCAATTGGCCACCTCCTGCACACCCCCCACTGGGGACAAAGCCTGC